CACAACCAGAGGTGGCCACTGCTGAACACCCACAGTGTGCAGGTGAGCATCTCTTGGACCCATGGAAATGAAAAGGGGCTGACATGGCTCATGGGGGGCTCACATAAGCTTGCCGCTCTGAACACACGTCCCTGCCCTTGCCTTCGCTGCTGTGAGCCCATGGGACCTAAGCACAGGGAGTGAGCCGCTCCACCACTGACAGTGGCACAGACGGGTCTGTGTGTGTGACGATGCCAGCCCACGGAGGCCCCGTGAGTGCAGAGCCTGCTGAGACCAGCTGTGGCAGCGGCCTGGCTCACAGCTGCCAGTTACTTGCTGGCCGAAGCCTGAGCAGGGCTCCTTGAAGACCAGGAGCCCCCGAAAGGTGCCTGGCACAGATGGGAGGTGTCGAGCTGCGTTGTGAAGTCCTTGGTTCTCTGGATCCAGATCACTAACATTACAGATCTGTCTCTAGGCGCAAAATGAAACCGCAACCACGAATGAAGCAGGTAGAAAAGAAGATTTAATAGAAGGAAAGGAAGTACACCCAAAAAGGTTGTTGGGCGGGCAGATTGCCAGGTGGCAGCTGCGATTGGTACTAGTTAACCGTCATTTTATTACTAGAGGTCATGAATATTCATCAGTGGGAGGCCCCTTATGCTGCCTGTGTTCTTCCTTTAAATTTCAATCCACACGTTCTTTCCTGCACCTGCGCACCTTCCTCACAGGTAAAGAACGAGGACCTTGATCACCTAGTTGCACATGGTGCCCAATGCCAGCCAGGTTGCCCCAATTAAACTGCCCAGTTAGTCCATCGCCCTCATGGGAATTAGGGCATCCACCAAGACGCTTGCTTAGGGATTTTTGATAAGAGAAAAAGCTACGCATCATCCCTGTGCGCTTCCCTCAGACCTCAAGGAAGATGGCAAATCGCCTCGCCCTCCTGGCGCCCGGAGCTGACTGAGCCTTCCGCTTTTCTCTATCACAGGCCCCCCTGCGGCTATAGCAGGTAACCCTCTGGGTCGTGACAGCCTGTCCCCAGGTCGTGCAAGGGCTTGGGGCTCCAGCGAGCCCCTCCCTGCTCACCGGGCACCTTCTCCTGTTCAGGTGGCTTCAGCTTCTCTCAGCGGTCGCCTTCCGACTCCAGGCTCCCGGCCTGCGGCGGCCCTCGCGCTTGCGGTCCCGGCGGGGCTCCACCCTGCCTGCACAGGGGGGCCCCACGTGCTCGTAGCTGCGTCGCGAGACCGGGCTGCGAAGGAA